GAAAAGGAGTTGTAGTATCTTTTCTAGTATGTACAGTATAACTTGGTCGTATTATTTGCATGTTATAAAGATTATATGGTGTAGATAAAAAGTTTCTAATTATTTCATCAATTTCTGCCATGCTTTTACTTTTAACCTTATTCCATTCTTGTGTTGCTTCATTACAAATATCAGCACGATTAGGATTACTATTTCCTGTTTTAACCATAATGCTATATACATATGCATTAGTGAATTTTTGATATCTATTTGTTGGTGACTTATAAATCAGTTTTTTATTAAATTTAGGACTAAACAAAAATGTTTGATAGCTCATTTTAAGTAAAATATTGACGTGTTTAATTTGTAGAAATACTTTGTCAAAAAATACTTTAAGTCCAAATTTATTCAGTCGCGAAAAATTTACAAGAGTAAAAATCTGAAGTAGCAGGCAGATCAACATAGATATCACATAAAATTGACATCATACGGCAATTTTTTTTGTTGAAAAATTTTTAATGGTCTAATATCCTCTCCTGTTGGTGTAACCCAGTATATATCATTATGATGCTTCTGCAACTCTACAGGATTAACTCTATTCTGAATTACGACCTTATATTTTACATTATTATAGTCAAATATGTCATCAAACTAAAGTACTGTAAATAAGCATCTTTACAATTAAAACACTATTATTTTCGTATTAAGGGTTTAAAATTCTAAATCATGGTTAAACGTAAATTCTTGTTTAAATCGTTTAAATCATTATTCAATCGGAGATCTGTTCTAATCCAAAAAAGACTAATTATTAATATCACGTGATTGACATATCTTACGTGGAGGTGGGGGGTATACACTTATAATAAAATAATATTAGGTAATATATGTCACCGCCCTTATATATTTTTATTTTATTTTATTTTTATTTTTTTATTTTTATTTTCTTTTTCTTTTTAATTACTTATTTACTTAATAATCAACTCAAGCAGACATTTTAACTTTGTTATTAGTAAAGTCAGCTAATTCTAGAGGAGGAATTGGCTATGTCTTCTTTACCATTAAATAAAAATTTAGCACATTATTAATAATTCTTTCTCATAATAGGTAAATCCAGAAATTTACAATCATTGATTCCAATAGAATTTCAGAACTGAAAGTAATGAATGATATGCAGCTTTTTCTATTTTTAGTTATTTATATTAAATGTAGAGTTTGAAACCGGTTGCACCAACTGGTTTAAAAATCAGTTTTAACTGATTTTTTGACAATTCAGTTTGACCTGAATTCATATTCTGAAACTGGTTTGCATTTAAAATGGGGGCAACTGGATTTCCAACCTGGTTTGATATTGAAACTTTATAGTGCTAGCTCAAATTACGAATTAAAATCATGTGACCACGGATAAATAGTTTAGTCACCAGGTAAAGTTATGTTACATAAAATTTTATTACAAATAATTGTATCCCACAAAATTTCGTATTGTGTTACACAAGGGTTGTAATTCTGGCCGGAATTATAACTTGGCCAGATTTATGCCGATCACATTTAATTCTGGCTGGAATTATCAAATATATACGATTTGGTTATTCGGTTTCAATCAGATTTTGTGAAATCGGTTTGAAACAGATTGAACCAGTTGCACCTGTTTTAAATTCAGTTTTCAAAAATAGAACTGGTTCTAAACTCTAATTGAATGTATTCATTTCTATGAATTAAAAAAAGATGTTACTGAACCTGAATTACTTTATATCATTCAGTTGAAAAATGTTGATGATTATATTTTAAAACAACATTGTTCAATACCAATTATGAAATTACTTAAGTCAAAAAAACTTGGTAACTAATTAATTTTCTGCTTGTTTTGATAAAATTTCTATATTTAGCTATTGAATATTATACCTTTCAGGCTATTGATGCATTAACGCATCTGAATGGGATAGGTTAATAAAAAATTTACAGATTTTTTTACAGTATTATTAAATGTAAAAATTGAGAGAGAAAGTATTTATAATAATTTTTTTTATAATATTAGAAACTTTTAAAATAAAAGAGGATTTTATTTTTTTTTGAATGTAAAAAAATAACTATTCTTTATTTTTATATCTAGTGTTATTTTTAATTATACATGTCAGTTGATAGTGAATTAAAATTTTGATAAATAAAAAAACCAAAATTGTAAAAAATATAAAAAATATAAAATTACTATACCAGCCCCTCTAAATAGCAAACAATTTTTTAGTGCGCATATATTATATTAGTAGAAATCACTTATGATTAGACATTACACATTTTTCTCAAGTATATATTTTAATAATACACCCACCTGCCAAAAGTATCCGGACACTTCTAAAAAATGACCATTAAATCACATTATTTTGACGTCTAGTGATCAGAATTTAACGATTTATGATTCATTGGATTCATCTAATTGAGACGCATCTAACCGCAGTATTTTCAAGTCTGTAAATTCAATAGATCAGAAGTTATTGCTGAATGTCTAAAAACAGTAAAATGCAAATAACTTTTGATCTATCAATTCTAGAGATATGAAAATAATAGATACAATGTACCTTAACAAGATAAATCTAATGAATCATATTTCATTATTCTAAGTTTAATAGGGAAGAAAATGTTGTGAAATTTGTATTTGCCAAAGTTTTAAAGATAAAAAATGAATTACTTCATAAAGTTAAATCACATTATTTCAATAACCAGTGAACAGAATTTAATTATTTATGATTCAATGAATTCATATTATCAAAATGCNATGAAAATAATAGATACAATGTACCTTAACAAGATAAATCTAATGAATCATATTTCATCATTCTAAGTTTAATAGGGAAGAAAACATTGTGAAATTTGTATTTGCTAAAGTTTTAAAGATAAAAAATGAATTACTTCATAAAGTTAAATCACATTATTTCAATAACCAGTGAACAGAATTTAATTATTTATGATTCAATGAATTCATATTATCAAAATGCATCTAATTACAGTGTTTTTATGTCTCTAAATTTGATGGATCAGATGTTATTCTCAACAGTAAAATGCAAATAATTCATTATTCACTTTTAAAAATTTGACATATACAAATTTCAAAATGTTTTCTTCTCTATTGAACTTAGAAAGATGAAATATGATTCATTAGATTTGTCTTGTTAAGATACATGGTATCTATTATTTACACGTCTCTAGAATTGATAGATCAAAAGTTATTTGCATTTTACTATTTTTAGACATTCAGCAATAACTTCTGATCTATTGAACTTACAGACTTGAAAATACTGCAGTTAGATGCGTCTCAATTAGACGAATCCAATGAATCATAAATCATTAAATTCTGATCACTGGACGTTAAAATAATGTGATTTAATAGTCATTTTTTAGAGGTGTCTGGATACTTTTGGCAGGTGGGTATACATTTAAATTACCATTGGTATTTTTATTCATTATTTATAATCAGTATTACTGTATATTGCTAGTTGAAAACGCTTTGAAAACAAACATATTCTCATATTAGGATTAGATGATACATTTTATGCAATTACATGATTTTTAACTAAAGTCGCTACATTGTGATATGTAAAAATCACATTATCAAAACTCTTGATAATAAATAATAATAAACTTCTTGACTTGTTATATAAACTTATATTTTAGTAGGAATCATGCAGAAAGAGAACAAAAGTAAAAGTATTCAATAATTTAGGTTTTTTTGCTTTTTCAAAATAAAATTAAAGAATTTTTCTTTAAATAGACTCTTCAATTCATGAGAAACTAAAGAAACTAAGTATTAGATTAAGTCAATTTGAATCTTATATATGTAAACCCCAAGAAAATGGTTCTGAAATTCTGATATAAGTAGAGTTTCGAACAGGTTGACCAAATTCAGGTAACCTAACAGGTTGACCTGAATTTATCAGGTCAGGTTTAGCAATTGCAATTCAGCATCAGTTCAGGTTGTAACATTAATATAACCTAAATGACCTGTTAACCTGAAACTATGATTTTATATAATATAAGTGATGGTATTATAATTCACTTTTTATATTGATTTTATATAATAAAAGTGAGTTGCAGTATCGGAATTCACTTTTTTTATATTGATTTTATATAGTTGTGGTATTGCGATTCACCTTTTTATATGATTTTAATATAAAAAAGTGAATCGCAATATTTTCAAAAAAAATGTTTTGCATCATTTTTTTTTTTGATATTTTAATAAAAATCCTGAAAATTTTCAGGTTTCAGTTCAGGTCAGGTCAAACAAATAACCTGATATAACCTGACCTGACCTGACCCATTTGGAACTCTAGATATAAGGTTATTAATTCATAGAAATATGAGCCTTTTACAGAAAAAAGATGTAATAATTAGATAAGGGATTTAGGGTAAAGAAATTATAAAGAGAAGAGTTAAATGTTCAATTATATAAATTATATCAATGAAATGATATGATCCAAAAAAATGTACAGTACATCAAACTTTTTTCAAAAACTGATTTCATAGTACTATATGAACTTTTAAGCATATAAAAAAAATTCTTAATATAATCAGAAACTTATGAATCCATATTACTTAATTCATGTGACATATTTACCTCGGTATATAAAAAAATTTACATACCAAACTTCGATCATATAAATCAGTATTGATTGATATAAATTAAAATATAAATTTTGACCTTTGAAAATTAGTCTTCTTTAGAATAATATAACCTGAAATAACCTTAATTTCAACAAGTTATAATGTTATATTTGGTATTAATTACTATCATTTGCTTTTGTTGCTGATAATTAATTAAAAATTAAATAAAAAATATTGATTCATATTTCATTATTTTATATTTGATCATAATTATTTATTTCAAGTATTTTAATTCGTTCATTTAGATTAAATAAACGTGATTGATTTAGGCAGCTATGTCACAAAATCATGAATTTATAGATATTAAAATAAAATAAAATAAAATAAAATTGGCTTTTAATAATAAAACATCAAATTTATTTTCATCTGATGTAGCACGAAATTTCAATGACGTGTGACGCGTGCGGACAACCGGATGACATCGCCCTTCGAAAACATATAGTCCTTCGCGTGATAATAAACTTGCAACTGGTGCCACTCTTGATGGGTAGTAAAATCTTCCGCTTCTCAAAATCATTTTTCTTATTCTGTTTCAACCACTTCTGTGTCCACTGCATCTGCGTCCACTGCATCTCGCTGTCTGGAATTATGTTAATGTTGTTGTTCATGGCGAAAATACTATATTTTATGTAAAAGCAGAAGAGTTATTAAATTTTTCTTTTGAAAAACAAAGAAAGATTCAAGTAATAAATATTATCCACCGCTCTTATTTATTGTTAAAAAAAGTAAAAAATTTGAAGGTATATACCTTTGAAATACCATAGACAAAAGTTTCGGAGCTATAGGAGGGAAAGGAGAAAGGGGAAAAGGATAAGGGAAAGTAAGGGACGAAAGGAAGTGAATGAGAAAGGAAGGAAAAGGGAAGGAATGTTATTTGTTTGTTTTTATTTTACTTAAAAAGTCAAATACATACATTATAATGCCTAAGCGCCAAAAATTTTATAACATACAACGAATTAACTAGTCACCTTAGTAGTGAACGCGCTGGGACAAAAATAAAAAGAGAAGGGAAAGCGAAAGGAGCATACCAGACCTTTTTTTTCTGCACCTTTTTGATGATAACTTTCCAATACATTATTAACAAATGAAATCATTTTAAAGATTCTATAATAAATAATGATACAGTAAATATAAGTTTCGTGGGCGCGGTTTGTGTCAATCTTCACTATATAAGGAACATGTGACATTTAATCTGGTCGGCTGATTTTTTGGTCGACTTTGTACTACTCAAAATTTACGAATAAAATTATTTTGTAAATTGAGTTGAAAGTTTGCAGTTAAGTTCGACTTACACGTGAAAACAAATAAAAATTTGTAATAATTAGCAAAATGACTTTTATTGGTCGCCGCGGTGCTTTATTTATTTTTCGAACTAAAAAAACCCCAATTTTTTAGTTTTTTTTGTTCGAATTTTTGTCGCGTTACACAACAAGATCAGGCCAACCAAAACAAATGAAACCCGACCGAAAAACCCAACCGACCGGAAATGAACAGGCCTATTTTAAGTATCTGAGGGACAGTCAGTTTTTTTTAATGTCAAAATTTTATTTGTCACCCCCGCAAAAGAATTTTTTCAGTTTGTAAGTTATCTTTTTCGCTAATCCATACAGTTGATTCTATATGAACCTTATGTAATCTTCTGGATGTACAATTAAATTTAGATGCCGTAACTAATTGAGATGGCATAATAATTTGGGCCGTAATTAATTTGGGATTTGAGACTAGTATACGTTTAGCAGCAAGTGTTCTAAGCGAGTTAATTTCGAAAAGGTTGAATTATTGTACGAATTTGATTAAAATGATTTAAGTCAAGTTCTGAGTTATAAAATTTAACAAACATTATTTTTAAAAATAACTCCTAAAATTGTATTTCAATAAATTACTTTCTTTGATCGATATTCTTTTATTGTAACGCGTTGATACGTTACTAATGAATATAATAAAACAATCTATCAACTATTTAATTAACAAAAAATTATCTTTCTGATAAATCTGTAATTTGTATATTAAATCATTTGTGCTTAAAGCGAATGTTATTTATATCCCGTTTTATTGCCTAATGACGAGTCTAACATATGGAACCTATAAGGCAACAACATAATTAGTTTATTTAACCATTTTATTTAAGGATTGCAAAGAAAAAGTTTTTATATTTACCTCTACATCTTCTTCATTACGATCGTTTACAACCATTTCTAAAGTTAACGCTTTAACATGTGGCGGAATAGGTTTCTTAGCGATCGATTCCACTAATTCTGATAACCTATATATATTAATTAAGATCAATTAATTACATGTTCATTAACATTATTTATTAAAATGGATTCTTAATGGTGTACCTCATATTTTTACGTTCTTCCCTTTTCTTGCCTTGCAGAAAGAATGCATATAACATACTTGCACCGCACGACAGCATTGTCACATCTAGTTCGTGGTTCTTTTTGAAATAATCCAAGAATTCTTGAAGTGTAAGATCACCTTCAATATCAAATCTATCCCATAAACTCCATTCTGTTTCGTGATACTAATAAATTTAGATAAAAAATTAGGTTCAATAGAAAAGTTTGATAGAATATAAGAAAAAAGTACGAATACATAAAATAATTACCTTGAATTTAGGCATAGCAATAGGCTCTGAAAATCCAAAGAATGGTAGAGCTAAATTTACAAAACCATTTTTATAATCTTCTATCTTATTCTTGCCACCAATAATTTTGTATAATTCTAAACATACTAATCCAGTTACTAATGCTGTCGTTGTAGCAATAGCCGGTATAATTTTACCAGCAATGAATTTAGTCTTGTGACGATCCGCTGGTTGAATACCATAGTTCGTGGCTCTTAAATTAGAGGTTGCAGTGATGAAATCAATATGGAAATTTGTATCATCATCTTTTTCGAATTCTACTGGATTCAATCGGAATCCAGGAATTGATGCTGGGTCGGGTAAACTTGAAATAATTTCTTGTAGTTCATTTTCATCAGTTGTTAGCTGAATATTTTCATTTTCTTGCACTTGAATTTTTACACCAGATTTTGGATGAAATTCAGGTACCATAACATTACTTAACACATTTTTAATGTATTCTCGATTTGTTTCACCTAAATATTATAACGAATTTTAATGTAAATAATTATAATATTAATAATGAGTAAAATACTTGAATATACCTTTGAGACCATAATTGAATGCATGTAAATTTGCCGCTGTTACGATAAATTCTAGATGTTCATTCTAGTATGCAGAAATATGAATTACTTAATAGTTAATCATTAAAAACGAAGAATATTGATATATACTTACATTGTTAGCATCAAAGACAATTGGGTCAGGTGCTCTCTTTGGACCAGACCAAAACTTCGTACCAGTGGACGTAATCTATGTAAAAAAAAAACCCTTAAACCGTTAGACTCTGTGGACTTCGTTACACGTAACAACAGATTCAACCATCCCATTTATGATGTGGTATTTGATTTAATTAACACAATAAATAAACTATTTTGTAGCGACTTACTGTATCTTTTGGGAAATTGAATAGTAGCTGTTGGATAGTATTATTAAAATATTCTTCAAATTTCAAACGAGCCCATGTAACGCACTCTTCGAACGTTAATGGACGTTCGCTAACTAAATAATTTTGAACTCCTTCCAGAATTTCTTTTGAGCCACTACCATGTTTTGCTGTAGCTTCAATAAAGCCAGATTGGCTTAGATAGGAATTGACATTTTCAGCAGGTGTTTTAAATAACCCTTCAAACAATTCACGCGCCCACTGAATTGTATGTTCAATTGCATTTGGAAAGTTTTTTAGAGTACAAATTGGAATAGATTTTTCGGGTGGGTCTTGGGATGATGAATAGGATTCAGTAAGGTACGGAATAACAACTTGTGTATTACCCTTTGTGCCTAGTGTTCCGGACTCTAATAAAGGTTTTCTAAAGTATACACATCGTCTATCCATGTATTTACCTAAGAATTCACAAAAAAAAAAAAGAAAAGATTAATGGTATAATTAAAAATTCTCAACATCACATCCTAATAAACTGCTTACGGGCATCAACGTTGTCTAATGCATTGGTTACTCCGTCCAAACGATCAAAGAAATCATCATTATAAACATTTTCAGTTTCTACGCCAACACGATCTTGGTGAGCAATATATTTTCCTTTAGTTTCAGGATTCATTCTGTTTATGGCAGCAATTGCGGTTTCTGATTTTAATTTCTAAAAATAAAATTCTTTTTTAAAAACTTTTTCTTATAATCTTGATTAATTAAGAGATCTAATTAATACATACACCAACGTCACGAGAACGGAACAAGAATTGTCGATTTAAGTTACTTTTTTCAATTGTATCCATATCTGTAACATGCACAGCACCTCTCGGACCAGTACCCAATCCCATCATAGCCCAGTTTTTTAGCATTTCACATCCAATAGCACCAGCACCGACCTAATCAAAAGAAAGATAAGAAATAATTTTCACACTATAATTATATATAAAAACAATAAATTTAAAAAATACCAAGAATTCTCTAAAATTCGCAATTTTATGTTGAAAATCTTTGCCAAATACTGCTATTTGACCATCGTAACGAGAATTGCACTTGTGATTATATAAGTAAAAATCAATGTTAGAATAACAGAAATTATTTAGGCAAAAATCAAAATATAAATAAAAATAACAACATACTGGAGCACAATTTTCTTCGTTCAAAGTGTCATTATCTGGCAAAGACTCCAAAGAATCAAAATAAAAGAATTGTTGTATTGGGTGAAACTTCCCACTGCAGGCTTTTAATACTTCTTGAGCAACTAATCCACCAAAAAATGCAACCATGGGTGATAAATCTCCAGTTGCACAATATGCAAGTTGTTTAAGAAGCTTATCGTCATCAAACTCAACCTAATAATAGTATATTATATTAATATCGGAATACCGATAAATATTCGATACTTTATACTAAGAATTTTAAAAAATACCTTTTCCTCGCATTGATCATTAATATTTTTAGCAAATCGAACCAATTCTTCTGCATCAGTTTCGTTGTGCGGACGAGGTAACGAACCATGATTTTCGACAAACGCATGAAGAGCCTGAAAACCAATATGCAATTGACCAGGTCGATCCCATTTAGCAAAATCAGAAATAAGATGATCCGGTTTCCCTAAAGATTCTCGTAAAGATTTCTAAATAATGTAAAAACCATATATTAAACTAAATATTTTATATTTTCAAACACATGACATGAAATTTCTTAGATGCAACTCACAAACTGAATTGTCTTTGGTTGCTTAACTTGGGTGAAAATACCACCACTAATATAGTCACCATATGTTGATGTATTACCAATGTTAAAGGTATAGGGACCTAAAATTAATGTATAAAATTAATTTATAAAATTTATACTTTATATATTAATAAAACCATTTGTATTATAACATCACACTTCTAGCAAACTTACCAAGCACTTTTACTTTCTTAGGTTCACAATTATTTAATTCTTCCATACCCTTTATTTCAGTAAATGTTACATAATCTCCATCTTCTAATCCATGTCTTGATTCATCAAGGCATGTGACAATACCTTCCTCTTCTTTGGATACTGCAGCCACCATTCCCGTTACCGGATTTTCACCGGTAGCATCGATTATTTGAAATTTGTCACCAAAATCATTGAAAACCACACTAGTGTTCAATAAAAAAAAAGTGTAAATAATCCCATGTCTAAACATGATAAAATAATAAAATATAACATCCTTTACCCAAAAAGGCCGCGCACATCAGTTGATATAAAATGTATCCCATTTGCATGAGTAAAATCATTAATTTCCAATTGTTTTTTAAGAGGCGTTTCTGTCAATACGATAACCTTAAAATATTTATGATCCAGATCAGATAAATACATACAAAATAACTTCCGTCAAAATAAATTATAAAATTTCTACCTGAAAATTTTTTATTTTATCATTGGTTAATTCGCCTTCCAATACAGATATCGGTACATATTGATTAAGTTCGGCCAATCGTGGCGCAGATGTTGCATCTCTCGGTTTTCTGACATCCTCTTCTCTCAAGAAGAACTGCAATTAATAAAGTCAAATTCTTCATCAGTTCATTTAGTTCATTTAACAAAATTATCAAGTTGAAAAAAAAAATTGTTGATTTTCTAACCTGCGTAGACAAGTCAGAAATTTTTACTGGCTCAGGATCATAAAGAGTAACACTCTTTACACCAGCAAGAACAACATTTTTTGCTTTATTTTATTTTATAATAATAAACTAATTAGTAAATTTCTTTATTAACATGCAATTATATAAAATAACAAAAAATTCAAAATTAATACCTATTTCAATACCAAGACCCTTTAAGCCAACGATAAGAACGTTGGAACTGCCCATTTTCTTCATTGCATCATGTCCAAGAACATAACTATACGAAAAAAATGATCCACATAGTTTAGCATTATTTAAAACAAGTTTAAAAAATTGTTAGCGAAACAATTTATAAACGAGTAAATACAGTTGTCGAGAATAAAGTCCCTCGTCAATAGTTTGATCGGCTTTTTTGCTTTCCATTTTGTCAAAATTTACTCGTTCAAACAGGAAAATAAAAAAAGTTTTTTATGATCCTTATTGATCCTTTTAGCATGAAGGTGAAGAAAAGGTTAATAAAGTGGTCCTTAGTCATGTCTCATTTACCAACTTTTTACACTTCACGTGAATTGTGGCGTATTAACTGCGTAAAAGAAATTTTTTTGTAATACATGCACAGTATGTCAGCTTTTAACTTTATAGAAATGGTTTTGTTGACTTCACCGCCTTGTCGATCTCTTCATTACAGCATTCTGAAAAAGCTTGACAGAGGAATGACGCTTAAGGATAAATATAGTTTCAAATATAGAACTTAAACGAGACTTATACAGACTATGAAGGAGTATACTCTCTTTGATAAGGCAAGTGGAATCTATATTATGATTAATAAGATTACAGAGAAGTATTTGGTATATCTTAAGTTCTGCGTACGCTGCCAACCTATCACTTGTTCTTATCGCTATAACATCACGTCTTGCTACCGCTAGACGCTAGTGGCTTAATTTCTAATGATGCTTCTGAAGGGTAAGGTAAAGTTATCAGTATCATTTTTTAAGAATTCGCGATTTTTGCTCATAATTTTATCTTTTTATAGATTCTTATGCCGCGGCTGGTAGTATAGCTGAACAAGTCTTATCTGGATTTGGATCATTTCATTGAATGGTGAAAAATGCAAAATAGCTTGTTACAAAGTTAAGCTAGATGATGTATATAAAAACGGCGTTAAAAAAGCTTTGGGTATTGTGTTTGGAAGCTGTGGTTTGGTTTTCTGTTTGGTTCGAAAATGTCAGGAGTCAGGACACATTAAATTCAATTTTAATTATCCAACGTGTTCCAATGTGCGAGTTTAAAAATTCAATTTAATAATTGAATCTATCAAATTTCTGTTCTTGTTAGTAGTTTAAAGAATGTTAAATCAACTATTTTAGTTTATTGGAAAGATTTTATAATCCTGTTAGCGAAACTATTGCGATAGAAAATTCTAAGGTCCGATAAATTACTTTTACTGCGCCGCAAAATTAAAAAAGTACGTGTTATACTAAGTCAGGCACCAGAATTATCTTAATTTGGCTAGAATTAATTGAAAAATTATGGCCTAATTAGGCAATTTGTTCTAATTTTAGCTAAATTATATGTTCAAGGGAAGAGTAAAATATTAGATTGGTGGCATAACGTCACTAGATATGAAAATTACACTATTAAACTGATGTATATTTTATTTTATTTAAATTAATTTATTATTCAATTATTAGTTATACAATTTATTGAAATTTAACTATTTTTAGCTTTTATCTTAAATAAATTATAAATTTTTTTATTAAATTTATATATATATTTTTTTAAAATTATTGTATCTATCTTAATTTAATTTTTATAGATTTTTTTCAAATTATTTGTAATATGTTCCAAAAATTCACCTGTAGTAACATAATGTTCTCTTTTTAAACTATAATATTTAATAAACAAAAAAAATATATATATATTTTTAGCAAATTAATATTAAATAAAATTTATAATATTTAATAATAATAAAAAAAAAATTATAATTAACTTACTTTTTACCATGAATTGTTAATGCAAGATCTTTAGTCATTTTATTATCTTTGTCAACTGTATCAATACAAACTTGTTCAAGATCATGAGCAAATTTTATTAATTTTTCATTATTATCTAATTTTGCTCTATGTTCTAATCCTCTTGTCCATGCAAAAATCGATGCTATTGGATTTGTTGATGTTTCTTTACCCTATAAATTTATAATTAAAAAAAATCAAATTTTTTATAAATAAATATAAACTAAAAACAAATAATTTCTTACTTGTTGAAATTGACGATAATGCCTTGTTACTGTCCCTATAAAAATAAATAATAATAATTAATATTACATTATAATAATTAACTATGATATTAAATAATATAAATAATAAAATTTTACCATGAGCAGCTTCGGCTTCTATTGTTTTTCCATCAGGAGTAAAAAGAACACTTGTCATTAATCCTAAAGAACCAAACCCTAAAACAAAAATATATACATATTATTAAATAATTAAAATACTTGTAATTATACTCTTTTTTAAAAATTTTTTAGGATTACCTTGAGCTAAAATATCTGACTAATTATTTTAAACATAAAAAATAAATAACTTGATTTTCAATAAATTTAATATTTAAACCAAATAAAGATTTACCTGAACATCTCTAAGAAAAAAATAAATAAAATCATTTTAATTAAATTGGCTTTTAATAATTTTTTTTTTTTTATAAGTACTTACCCATCATAATTTTTACATGCCCAAACAAATCCTCCATTAGATTTAATAGCCTGAGCAACCATATCATCTATAAGCCTATGTTCATACCAAATTTTCTTTGCATCAAATTTATCTTTATAATCCCTATAAATAAATATAAATATTATATAAGAACTTTACCCTTTGTTCTTTTTTTTAAAAAAAAACAAAATAAGTTACCTATCAAATATTTCTTGAAAGATATCTTTAAACCGACCATCATATTTTTTTAAAATGGTATTTTTAGTACTAAGATACTAAATAATATCATAATTTTCAGTAAAAAAATATTAAATATCTTCTTTTAAAAAAAATAAAGTAATTTTAAATTACCAAAGGCATTTCTTTACTCAACGCCATTTGGAAGCTACTATGTGCAAAACCACTTATAGACTAAAAAAATGAAATTATTTTAAGTATTATGAGATTTGCAAATACATCAACTTTTACAAATTAATTTATTTTACCTCATCTGTGTTATACATAGCCATTGTAACACCAGGGGACTAAATTTTATGAAGATTTTAATATTAAGCCTATTTTTTCATTTGATTTACTGGAACTTTAATTACCTTAAAGGAGAATACTACTTCTTCATGCGTTTTTGAATTATCATCTGGCACAAATTTCAAGAGAACTTTGCCTGGACGATCTATAAGCATTTCGGTGGCTTTATACTAATAAAGATACATTTTTGTTAATTTGTTAATTTTAAAAGTTGAGACATTTACAAAAAATTTAATCTAGCTTGCCTGATCACCAAAAGCATGTCTACCGATAATGATAGGTTTATTCCAATTGGGAATTATTCTTGGAACATTATTCAATAAAATAGGTTCTCTATTAAAAAGATTAAAATTTAATAAAAATTTAAATAATAATAATTTATATAATAAATTAAAATTACCGAAATACGACACCATTTAAGATATTACGAATAGTGCCATTTGGAGATTTCCACATTTGTTTTAAATTGAATTCTTGTAAATTTACAAAAAATAATATTTATAATTCATTAATTAAATTAATTAAATTAAATATAAATTAGCCTAATTTATATTATATTTACCCTTAACTCTTTCTTCGTCTGGTGTAATTGTTGCACATTTAATACCAACATTATATTTTTTGATTGCTTCAGCTGCGTCAATGGTAACTTGATCATTTGTCTTGATAAAAAAAACAATTAATTAAAAACATTTTTCTTATTCAATAAAAATTTATTATTTCTTACAGCATCTCGATTCTCAATACCCAGATCATAATATTTGACGTCAATTTTGACATATGGGAAGATCAACTGTACAAAGAATTTTGATGAAGATTAATTTAACAATCAAAAAAAAAATATCAATTATCTTAGTCAAAACCCGTAATTTTACGTCAGTCTTTATCTTTTCCCAAATAATTCGAGTCATTTCATCTCCATCTAAGTCAACAACAGGATTTTCAACCACAATACGTTTATCTTGAGAATCTGAAAAAGAAAAAATAAAGGACTGCTGAGCCACAAAATCAAAATTATTTACGTAGCATACACTTTCATTTACTGTACATACAAAAACGCCGATTTGATGATATTGCAAGTCCAATCCTGTTATAACCAACAATTGCTTGTCGAAATGTATTTAATCTTGATAAACCACCTGCCATCCTTATTAAAAAATTTTTTTTGGGAAGCTATTTGTTGATAAAAAAAATGTTGCTTCATTTGCAATTTATAGTTGTGGGAGCATATACAGTACATCTATAAAATTTTCTGCTAATCTTGAGATTATCCATATCTAGTTAAAATTATCAGATAACGATAATCACCCCTTATTAGATTTGAGTGTCGGATCGCTATTCAAGCCGTTTTTTCTGTTAGTAATGTCAGTTATAGATAGCAACCATCATTGAATGATAATATTTTTTTTTGTAAATAAAGCCTCACTAAATTATATTGCATAATCTCTAATTTTTGTTAATTTTATTATTACGGATAATCATTTTTTAAAAAAATCATTTTTTAAATTTAACACGTGATATATTTAGTACAATTTGCTAACGCTTTTTGCGATTTTAAAAACTAAATTAAAATATGACAATTATGCTTTAATATTAAGAATTATTATATCTCTTTTTGTATGAATCAAATCATAATAAAAAAAAAATTGTTTTGTTATAAAATTGTATCATCATCGGATATTAATCCCATTTCTGAATTCTTTCAAAAGATTATGATCTAATTTATCATTTTCTGCCAGTAAAGTTATATGACCCTCAATATCATAATTTAATGAAATTAATTTATGATATAATCTAGTTATAGCTATCAACCTTAATCCAAAATCTTCTTTACTCATCTGTATTTCATCAAATAATCGTATAAATTCCCTGATTTTATCGGCTGACACGTTAGAATTCCTCACATTCTGAATCGGACTAATCGGACTATTATTTGTACTTTTGGAAGGTGTTATAGAACTTTGTCCGTTATTTTGAACAACTTGTTTCCCTTTATTTTTTGGACTATCTAATGTTGTGCTTGATGACTCTGAGGTATTCTTAGCTTCTGTAGCTTTTCTTTCTCCATTTTGCGGTTCCTTAGGATATTCGGGTTCTATTTCATCATCATCAGAAATTATGACTATAGGTTCTTGAAGATTTAATAAAGGCTGATTATCATTAAGCTTTGGTGTTGAAACTTTATCGATTTTCTTCTTCAGTGCTTCAGCGCTAACCTCTTTAATTACGACACTTTTTGATCTTTCATTATGGAACTGATATTGTTGTTGAGATTGTGATTGTAGATCAGGCAGCTTAGATTGGATTGGATTAGTTGGCATTGAAATATTAATGCGGTTGTGATTATGCAAGGGAATATTTGTTATATTGTGAACATTGGGTTGCATAGAAACCATTGGTCGAATCGAAACATTCTGTTGTTGTGGTGTCGTTTTAGAAATATTTACAGGTTGCATAAGAGCATTATTGTTCATAGGTACTTTAATTTGTGATGGCTGAATATCTTTGGGTAAATTGTGATCATGTGTATAAATTTTTTGGGTAGGAGTCATGTTTTGCTGCAGATTTGTTTTGTTTGAAGGTGCAATGGGTCGATGTAATGCAATCTGTTGCGGCGGTGGTGGTTGTTGTGGACGAATTATTGGCATTTGATGAACTTGATGATGAATTTGTTGATGAAATTGATATTGTTGTTGTAAGTTGTATGATTCAATATAATGCCATTGGCTATGGCCATGGCTATTATAATGAGGATAACCATAGATTTCTTGACTATACGAAGTTGTTCCAGTTACGTTTTGATAACCCGGAGGAAAGGGAATATTTTGAAACTCAGTTCTACTAGTAGTAACCATTATTGGCATGTTGTCTAAGTAGCTATCATCCTGTCTTGATTGTCTTTGTCTCTTCGATTTTTGAACGTCATCTTTCTTTCTCTTTGAAAGTATGCCCTTAGAAGCTATCCCTGGCTTACTGTCAGATGTAATATCAAGAGCACTTGGATCTTCAGAATCATCATCGCCAGTATCTGATTCAGATGAGACAGTATCCTCCTTTTCAATGGGAACAAAATCAGGATCTATCGAACGTTTCTTTCCTTGTTTCTTTTTTGGTGTTGATATATCTCCTTCATAATAATCCTAAAAGGAAACAAATTAATTGATAAAATGCTATGAACGATCAATTTAGTTAAAAAGTGTAAATATGTTAATTACCACTTTATTTCGTTTTCTGGCTCCTCTTCCTTGTAAAGGAGTCTCATCATTTGTAGTAGTACTTGCAACATGAGCCAAAAGTTTGGCCCAGAAGTCTCTTGATTCAACAGATTCTCCTGTATGATCATCATCTGCAATAATTTTTTCTTCAACAATTTCTTGATTTTTAATATCCCAAATTCTTGCAAATGCAAACCCTGTTAAATTCTTTGATTCAGTAACTTGTTCTGTTGTTTTCATCTGACTACGGTCCAAAAGTTTTTCAATAGCTTCATCAGTATAAGTTCCTACGGGTTTTTCATTCTCATCTTCACTAAATAAAGCTTCAGCACCATAACGAATAATATCATCGACTTCTTTGACATCAAGAATTTCATTATCCATCTTTTCTACAACTAATTCATTTTTTGCAAGTTTTATTTTTCCCTTTTCAACAATTTTTTCTAAGTTAAACAAGTTAAAATCCTTAGTATTATAATAATGATAATGATGATAATTTTTACAAAGTTTATATTACCTTCGATTGAAAATTGTGTAATAAACCTAAAAACTTTAACAGGCTAAAAAAAAAAGATATTCACATATGTAAGTATTAATATTTTACATTGAATAATAATTAAACATTTTTACAATTATTACTTTAAATTGACCAATGCGATGAACTCGACTCAGTGCTTGAATATCTTGATGAGGATTAAAATCAGGTTCAATTATAAATACAGTATCCGCGGCCACTAATAGTCATGTTCATATTAATAAAAAAAACAAATAGATACTTAAAAATATGGGAGAATTCATTTTAAGAATAAAACATACTTAAATTTAACCCGACACCTCCGGCACGTGTAGACAATAAAAAAACAAATATATCAGAATCTGGAGCTTGAAATGCGTTGATGTTATGTTGTCTTACTTCATTATCAGTACCACCATCCTAATAAACCGATAATTATTAAGAAGAAGAAAAAATTTTACATAATTTGAAGAGCTTATTTAATGCTTACAAGCTTTACAAATTTGTATCCTAAATCCTCTAGGAATTCTTCCAATATAGATAACATTGAAACAAATTGAGAAAATATAAGCACACGATGGTTTGCTTCATGCAGTTTGATTAGCATATCCCGCAGAAGAATCAGTTTTCCACTTGTTTCGACAAGTTTTTTCTTACGTTCCTCCTCTTGTTCTTCAGTTCTTTCGTCTTCAGGATCAATTTCTTCACGATTGATTATATAAGGATGGCTAACTATTTGTCTTAGACTCATCAAAATATTTGAAAAACCTGTTGAACGATTCGCCCTACTGACATGTTTAAGAAAATCTGCATTCTTCTCAAGTGTTTCTTTATATATTGTTTTCTGTATTGGAGTCATAGAAATACGAACTATAACATCATCCTAGATTGATCCCGAATTAGAATAAATAAATTAAAAGGAGAGAAAAAATAAATAAATAATCAAATAAAATCAAACCCAAAATTTGTATATGTATTTACCATTGGTGGAAGGCCTAGATTGACCTGACTCTTCGTACGTCTCAAAAAATAAGTTTTGAGTAATTTATGTAAAGCAGGTAATTGATCAACTGTGGGTAAACCCTGATACTCTTCCGCCAGTTTTTTTGGATTCTCGAATTCCTTATGACCAAGAAATTTTAATAAATTAAAGAGTTCATCAATACCTGTCTCTTATACACATCTAGATGTGTATAAGAGACAGCCGTTATACTCTTCCGCCAGTTTTTTTGGATTCTCGAATTCCTTATGACCAAGAAATTTTAATAAATTAAAGAGTTCATCAATACAGTTCATCATCGGAGTGCCTGAAAAAAAAAACAAGTTTTAATCTGAATAAAATTTAAAAGTATTTTTTTTTTTTTAATATAAAATCCAACTTAAGATACCTGTTAATAGTACTTTATGATATACATTGAATTTCATATCCAATATTTTGAAACGTAAGGAATCCTGTCCACTTTTCAGACTATGTGCTTCATCAACAACTAATACTTCCCAAAGAGGAACCTTCGAAAATGTTTTTGTATGTTGTTGTATCGCTTCTGGAGTAGTAATAACCACATGGCACTTTAAGTTAACTCCATCAGGGAACATTTCAAAATCTTCAACAACTTTCAAAGATTCTCTATCTCCATGATACTCAATTACATTTAATTCCCTTGCCCATCGCTTAAATTCACGAGACCAACCAGCTGTAGTAGATTTTGGTGCAACAATAAGGAAAGGGTAACAATCCCTTTCTTTGTATAAAATCAGAAGAAAAACAATGATTTGTATTGTTTTCCCTAAAAGGAAAGATTAATTAAGTAAACTGGGGATTTGGAATAAAATGAATAATGCTAAAATATAAATAGTTATAAAGATTTTACCTAACCCCATTTCATCTGCAAGAATACAAGATATTTCATTACACCAATTATGTAATAACCAACTAATATATTATAATAAATAAACAAACAAATAAATAAATAAATAAATGTAAAAAAAAAAAAAAAATTCAAAATACGGTTAAAATAAATAAACTCACTTCACACCATCTAACTGATAATCTTTAAGTGTGTTATCGAATTTTTTACTTTTCAAGTACGCAGGTTGAACTAAATGTGGGTCAAATGCTCTATCTATAAAGATATCAGGTTTCTCAATTGCATATGAATTTTTTCGAATCTGATAAGCTTTTTCAAACTTTTTTCTATCTAAATTTTCTATAGGTTCCCACGTAGCTAAGGAAAAAAAAAAGAAAATTAATATATAGAATTAAATATTAATAAAATAAATACTTACCATCAAAATAGTTAAGACCCTTCCATTTAACATAAGCTTGTACTAGTGCACCTCTACCCAAATTTTTTTGTCCTTTTGTAAGTTGATCACGTAAAGTTATTTCACTTTTAAATTGTACATCAAGTATACGATGTATTTTCGTCCAGTCTTCATGAATTACTTCTTCTTTTGTCAATTGTTCAGGTTGTGATTTAATATAAATATTATATTTATTTGGATTAACTCCATATAACCAAGGTCCAGGTACCCATTCAACTTGAATATAGGACAGATCTTTAAATTTTACAAGAAATTCATAATCTTCAATATTATCAGAATCTGAATTTATATCTTCAGATTGAGGTGTAGGTGTTTCTTGAGATTCTGAAATTTCCATTGATACATTATTTTTATCCGCAGGTACCTTTCTATAAGTCAAAATTTTATCTACCTTGTCTTCCCATTTAAGACAAAGATGACATTTCCATGATTCTCGATATGATATCATTTTATCTTTCAAAGTTTTTTCCTCATTCAAAATTGGCAAGCAACTTTCATGTGCAGCCTGAGTACAATACAAACATCTAAAGAAAACTTGTGAATCATCTGGATCTAAATTAGATGTAGAAACTTTATTTGATTTTTTAGAATCTTCTTTACTTTTGGAATTGTTATTTTCCTTGCCATAAGATTCTTCATGACAAATCATACATCTAGATATATGTGAATCTATTTTATTGCATTGTTGACAAATAATCTTTGAATTTGTAGTCTTTCTAGAATAACAAATTGAATGAAAAGAACTGGAACAATATTCACATAAAACCAAAGACCCCTTTTCATTATTATGTCTATTTGCTGCACCACCACATTTTTTACACCAATCAAGATGTGCAGAAATAAATTGTGGATTACTTGCTCTTGCAGTTGAAATAGGATCAATCATTGATTTTGATCGATCCTTTGATGAACCACTTTCTGAATCATCGTCCTCAGAACCTTGATCTGAACTTCCCTCCATGGATTCACTATTACCTGAAAATTTATCTGTTTCCGAATCATCAACATCAACAACAACAACATCATCACCATCATCATGATCATCAGATTCTTGGTGATACTTTGATTTTTTATTAGAATTATTAAATTTTGAAATTTTCTTATTCCGATTTGTCGATCGGCCATTCTTGCCATTAATAGATGTTAAAATTTTAAACCGTTTTTTTTCAGGATTACTATTAAAAGAAGATTTCTGTTTCCTCTTTAAATCATCTGGATCATTACCAAGACGACTCTTAAAATATTTTTCATCCGAATAATTAATACGATTCACCTTTCTTTTTGATCTAGTAGCAATTGTTGATTCATTTGAATCATCTGAAGTCATTTGATCAGTATCATCTGAAGTTTCCATATCACTTAAACTTTCACTATCATCATCCGTTGATTCTCCAGTCTCCGAGGATTCAGAGATCACTTTTGATTCTTTAGCCTAAATACGTATATCAATTTTAATAAAAAAAAAAAAAAGATTAAAATGATTATTATAATAATAAGTTATAAAAAAAAAAAAAGATCAAGAGAAAAAAAAATTGATTTTTTATTTACTTTTTTCCTAGCACTTCTAGTTTGAACCATATCTAAAATGGGATTATCTTCTTCGGAAGAACTCACGGATATTATTTTTCTCTTACGTTTAGGTGTTTGAGATGTAGATGCGACAGGTTGTCGCTTTAATTTTGGTCCCATCATATGATAAAAGTAATGTCCTCAATTTTTATATAATAAAGAAATTTGAGGGTTGAGAAAATAGATCAAAGAAGTGAAATTCTCAAATTGAAGATTAAAAGTTGTGAAAAACTTGTTACTCTTTTGAACTCAACAGTTTTTCTCTATTTATGATTTAGTTTACCTTCCTTTTTGATATAGGGATAGTGTAACACAATAACAATTCGTGTAACGTATATTTACCATATATGGTAATAGCACCATCAGTGAACAAGATAAAATCACGTAAATAAATCACGTGAATAGCTTTAAACACGTAAGTTAACTAATAAAAAGCATCATTGGAAAAAAAAAATTCATTGAAAAAAATCAAAAAATTCCGATTTTTTGATTTTTTGATTTTTTTGAACATTATTCATTATATATAAACTAAATGATAGACTATTTACAATCTAACAAGCAACTCCTCAAATAATCTAAGTAATCTCATGAGTTCGTGTAACTTATCCATGATATTCATGTCGGAGAATGCAATAAATCATTTTCCCGAACCGTATAAACTCTCAATACTAAAGATGATCTTGTAATCGTGTAACTTAACTACTCATTGTTCTAATCTCATCATTCCATTACCTAATTAACAATTTATGTCTTAACTATTTAATAAACTTACCTCTAAAAAAAGGTTTCAACATTTTGTATACCCACTATGTAATACTCTTGTTATATTAGATTGAAAATTTTTATATGCATGCATATATTAACAATATGGTTTTTTACTAAAATATGTTTAAATTAGTATGAATTTAGCTCAAATATTTTTGAAAAATAGTTTTTAATTATATTCTTTATATATATTCCTTCATTATAAATTGTATAATTTATTAAATTAATCGAGTGAACCTATTTTTTGGGTAGGTAAAATTTAAACCATGTCCCAAGCGAAGCGCCCTTTATAAATAAAAAAAATCATTATCATTATATTTATTCTCATTAAACTACTTTCATTCTATTTGATCGATTTAGTCTCATTATTAAAAACAAACATTTCGAAACGTATAGGGATCGTTAAACAACATTTTAAACAAGTACAACCTCACTTTAAATAAAATGGTTAGATTTAAATTATTATGTTACAAAATATTCGAATATTATTAGATCAACGAAAAGGAAGAAAGTATAGAATTTTGGATTTGGAATTTATTAATATGAGCATCGCATCGCATCGCATTGCTGCCTAACAAAGCACAATTTGTTCACATGTTCTCGCTTCATAATCGGTAATTACAAATAAGATCCTCTGCATTATAATAAACCTAAATTTTTTTAAAAAAATCCACAACAAATTAATTAAACTAATTGCATGATTTCATTATTATTATTATTATTATTAACTTCACTTGTTTCTCGCTTTATCTCCGGTTCTTCAGGTACATAAGCCAACAAGATCTCGGTATTCAACTGATGAAACATAGGATAATCATTCTTATTCTTAATAATCATTTTAAATTCATTAGTATTTCTAATGGTATGAAAGTTCTGTACCACATATTTCATAAATTCATCCTTTAAAATAGACCATTTCCAAGCATGTTTAAATAAATTCTCGGCACAAGTTGTCTGATTAATACCACGAAAAATTTTTCCTTTAACTTGCTCTTCCAATTCCGTAATTAAATATTTATTCGCTATTCCATATAAATCCCAAATACTATCATTATTACTTAATTGAATTTGATCTGTGTAAAGGAAGCTCAACATTTGAAAAACACTCGAGTAACTGAAATCTGTAATTTCAATATTATATTTGAACCCGTCCTTATTTGAGTTATTCTCCTTCCAAGGTCCATCTAACATTGTTTGAAAATAATCAGATCTTTTTTTAAGAATTGAACTCTTTGAATATAAATATTGTCCATCTACAGTTATTCTTGTATCAGCTCCAGATGGATTAGTTAATTCATCAATCCATAATGTGATTAAATCTTTTGGAATTTCTCTTTTTGGAAATGGGCTTTGTGAAACTAATTGTGAAAATTGAATTTTATTAAATCCTATACCAATTTTTAAAGTTTCCGGAACAGATACCCTTTTAATTATTTTACGTATCGCTAAGTTTTTTTTTTTTTTTGAANCATTTTATCCTATTTGAAATCGCTTTTAAAACTTGCCAAAAAAAAAAAAAAAAAATGTTTTTCCACTTACATATTCTATTAAAAGTTTCATTTTCATAAATAAATCTTGTTTTTTCTTTAATAATATTATTATCTATGCCCTTTAAATAAACTTTAAAGGGAAAAGCATTACGTCTAGCCTGATCAAATTTATTTCCTTCATTTTGATTACGAATCGCAATTAATATTAATGTACAATAATCGGGACTATTAACAGATATCTATTTTATTTATCATAAGGTGGAGAGAATAAATTAGTTAAAAATTAATCAAATAAATGATTTTAAAAAAGATTTTACTTACAGGCTTAAAACAAAGTTGCCAAAAGATATTTGGAGAAGTTTCAAATCTTGGGGTGTATACTACTTTACTTAACTCATGAGCTTTTAATATTTCAAATTCATAATAACATGAACCACCACATTCTTCCATGATTTTTTAACGAGAGAAAAAAAAAATTATTCAAGATATTGTTTACATTATACATTTATACATTTCACGTTTTTCACGTTTTTTTTTCTCAGAATTTGGGATGTGACACATAATTAACTAACCGAACTAACCGGCAGATAAATCCGGACAGTTGGGTCGGTAATCAGGTGACGCACATGACGCTGCGAGTAGTCTAATGGAATGGAGTATCCAAAAAAAGAATTAACATAATTAATATATTTTTATCAATAAATCATATCATATCAGTCAGTATTATTAAAGAAATCAATACAATACTGTCTTCACTTTGGATTGGGGGATTGATAGTTAAGCGATTAATGTAGAAGAGTTCTAGAACTTATCCGATTTATTTCATGACTGTTAACTTAAAATTGAAATACATAAACAATAAACATATGTTGTGTATAACTTTAAAATAGAAAACAGAGAAATATCAAATTTAGAAATATTTATAACTATCATAAATTAAATAAATTAAGAAAATTTATAATTTATAATCAACGGCTAATAAAGAATCTATAGTTTGTTCCAAAATTTTAACATATTCTTGCAAAATTCTAATTTCCTCTTTGAAACTAGCGTTAATAGAACAAATATGAGACGTGCTAACATCATTAACTTGAATTGGCTCAATATCAGATTTCGCGTCACAGAATAAGTGTCTTTTATCACGTGATGATTCTTGAAATCGAACCTGTTCCCTTTTTTGGTCATTAATATTAATCATATGTTTATCTAGAACGATTTGAATAGTATTTTGCTTGTAAAATAATTTTGCATCTTGGGTTAATTTATTGTAATAACCTTTTACATGTTGTGGCTCTTTATTCCAAGAATTTTCTGCAATTCTAGAAAAAACTCCCATACGAGGTAATTTAATATTTTTATTTTTAATACGATATTCTCGAATTAATGCCATTCTATACGCGATAAAAGCGTTTGGAACCATTTTCGGTTTATTATCGGAAGTCTGAGCGTTCTTTATAAGATCATCTATAGTTAAAGCTGGAGGGAAAGGTGGCTTAAAGATGTTAACAAGATTATTGTTTGGACTATTGATAATAATATTAGTTTCATCATTTGAATTGAAATTAGAATTGGTTACAAGATTATTTCGATTCCTTTTCTTTGAAGATTCTTTGGGCATATTAGATAATTTGAGGTAAAACACAGGAACAATTAAATTGTTATTTTAGAAAAAAAAAAATTCAATCTATTTATAATGAAAATTTACCATCTTATTTCCATTGAAGCGTTATATTTACTGGCAAAATATTTGTGAACAATCTTTGTGATACTCAATTTTCGCGTACTCTCAAGTTTCAACACGTGAAGGTTATTTGAAGCAATGCGAGAGTTTATTTGTACATAAAAGAATGCACTGTGAAATTTAGAATAAAGATTAGTTTCTGATTATTCTATAATAGATAACTAAAAGATTTAAGATCATATATTTCATTTATTTGTATTTCATTTGTACAAATAGCCTCAATATAGCCCCGAAATTCTTTGCATTAACATTAATCTTAGCTGTGAAAGACAAAATATAATCTACTAATTTAGCATTATTACATTTAATATATGTTAATAAATTAAAAAATCATTATTATGCTTAATTTTTTTTTCCTATTAACGATATATTTGATTAATTTCTAAGATATAAAATATACTAAAATGTTAATGTTTGTCTATAATCAATATATATATATATTGTATATACATATATTTATATATATATATATATATATAAATAGAGAATGTGAGATGGATAAAAAAAATAAGAGAAAGGCCGATGAAAACAAACACCGGGTAAAATAAATGAATAATACATAATCTATATAATTATTATTAACTATGAATTCTTAAAAAAAACCTTTAATTCTATAATTCTCATCTTAATTTTTGCACCAGGTAAAAATCGTAATAAATCCATCAGCTCAATCAAGGAAATATCATCATATCATCAATATGGAGTTTTTTTTAAATCGAAAAAAAAAAGAATGTTTTAGAAACTTTGACTGACTGACTCCTGACACCAGGTATTGTTCACTTATGCTGTACTTTTTTACGGAATTTCGATGTTAACTTATTTTAGATTTATTGGCTATTTTTTTTTTCTCGTGTTTTTTCCACATTGCTTTATTTTAAATATAAAGTTTAGAATCTCAAATGGTTATCCATTTTGAGTTCTAAATTAATATTAATAAAAAAAAAAGCCTTATTTTTGTAATTGAATTATAAATATATACATGTATATTTTTATTTACTTTTATTTAGCTGTCAATATTTGCAAATGAATATGCGTCCCCTGGTGACAGATTATTTTCCCCTTATACAATAAATATAACGCCTTCTCATAGTACTAATTTTCTTTTGAACTCTAAATCACAACTTAAATTTAAAAAAATAAAACAAAGAATTTTTTAGAAATCTTAAATCTTAACCAAAACAAAACTAGCTATATAATAATATATAAATCCATATTCGGTAATATCGTAATTTGTGGTCAAAACAGTCGTACTAGTATGTAAACATTTATAATTAGCTTTCGAAAATCGAAATGAATGATTCTTTGCATTAAAGTCATTAATTAATTTTAATGATTATAACGGGTACTAAACGGGATCTAAAACCGGGTCCTAAACGGATCCCAAATAACTTAAATAATTTTAATGATTTTTAGCCGAAATACTAATCACTTGGGTTTCATGCATAATAATAGTAATCATAATGTTAATTTAAAAAGAGCGATGGAACCCAATTTTTTCTTCGTGTATAATTCAATGACATGCTTATGAAATCAAATTTAATTTATTTTAAAGACCAATCATATTCCTAATTGGTTGAACATTTTTACTTTTAAAACAAAAACTATGGAAAAGTCGGGGAATGTACCCTTTCCGAGTCACGTGAATCAAACCTTATCGTTGTTTATTATTATAAATAGTGTTACAAATAAATGCTTTGTAACACCCTATTTTCATTCCCGATTTTATTGGAATTTATAATTTGGTTCTAATAAAAAAGAACCAATCCGATAACACCGATAAAAAAAGAATTTTATTTACAAAATTTCACAAATTATCTAACAAAAGATTACTTCAAGAAACGATAAATGGGTTAAATGCGGTTAGATAAGAATGAAATAAATCGAGGAAATCAATATCCCCCTGACATATCAAGATCGATACTTTTACGTGAGGGAAATAATTATTGCTGTTATTAATTGGTCAAATTACAACTTCCTCTTTTTTATTCTGTTCCACAATTTCATAAATCATTTGAAAGAATTTCTGCAATTGGTCCACAGTTTTTCCGAATGTAACATTGAAAATTAAGTATATCTAAAAAAAAAAAAAAAACTGTGAAAGTTATTATTTGGATTGATAATTTTTTTTCTTTTGTATTCATAAAGGTAGAACAATATTTATTTAATTTTATTAAATTATATGATAATTAGTATTTGATAATTTCTCAAATAACAATATTATAATAAATCATATATTGTATCAAAAATGTTATATAAACCTATAATTTTATGAATAAAAAACCGATACTGGATGTAATTAATTTATTTAAAAAACCATAATTGAACGTTTCTAATTTTATTAAATGAAAAAAAATGCGTATAAAATAAATCGTTTGAATGCATATAAACACCACTATATAAACATGTATTTAAACCTTGTTTATAAAAAAGTACATTTTTGATAAATTTAGTGTACGATAAATAAATTGCACTCGACAATTGCATATTATTACATAAACAATAAATATAAAAACTACAATTTTCTACCTCTATCAAAAATAATTTATCCATTTTTTTAAAACCATTTATCGTTTCACTTTTTACGAAATATGCCTAAAACTACACTCACTTCCGAACAGAAAAAATTAATAGACTTCGAAGAAATTACACCAGATAGACACGATTTTGCTGTCATATTATTTTGCAGCCGAATTATCGTACGAATACAAATTAAATGTTTCGAAGAAACTGAAACATTTTCGAATAATGATATCAATAATATCGTCCGTAAGGAAGCTGAAAGCTTCTCCGAAAGACTTAGATGTTTCATCGATCAAATTAAAGAAACTGGACATTGTTACAATAACGCAACGAGTATGGATTTCAAAGAGAAAATAGCGTCATCAGAATTCCCACTCAAAACTATTATTAATATTTTAAGTGAGGAATTATCCTCTAGACCCCGTAAAATCAATCCACCACCCGTCAAACGGTTATATAAAAATTTAATCAGCTTAGCTGATGATTTAAGAAAGTATTTCGTAAATCGTGAACATAATAACGAAAAAAAGCATAAGATCCGACCAATATATTTTTCAGAAAATTATTTTATATATCAAGAAGGAACCCCTAAAGGAGATGATGAGAACTTTATATCATTCCCCGTGACTTTAGTTTGGTTACCTACGTTGACCGTCACGGATGAGATTAATCAAAAAAATGCATCGGCTTTTCATCTTCGAAAGAAGCCCGAATTTTTAGGTAAAAGAGCACCCACATTTCGATCACAATTATTAAGAATGAATGGTGTTCAAAAACGGGTCAATAAAAGTAAAATGGAAAAAAAGATCCAGAAAACAACGAAAATTCCAAAAAATAGACGAAGGAAATACTGCACATCATATGATGACATAGAATATCCTTCGATAGAACCAATTGAACCGCCAGTACCCATGACTTCAATTAGAGCAATCTTAAATCATAGTAATCAGTTACCATCAGTATCAAATTGGCAAACTACTACAATTACCGAAACACAGAAATTGGTGAAAACGTTCGATCAATTTAATTTCCGAAAATTATGTCCGTGTATATTAAAAGAATGATCAAATAAAATGTATTTAATTCATCATTCGTTATTATCACAAACACAATTATTTCTATTCGTTTTTCGTACGCTACTCGATATCCGAGCGATTTTCATTTTCGCATTATATTATATATTAATTGAAACTGATTATTTCAAAAGCAAGCTTTTATTAAGATAAAATTATAAAATTATGACAAATTCCGAATATAGTATTTATGGACAACATTTTTAAGTATTATTAATTTATTTTATTTGTGGAATATTTTTTTAACAAATGTTTCATTTATGAATTATGCCAAAAAAAAATTAATTTTTTTTTTTCTTCTCTTTCGTATATTCTATAATTTTTATTATTTATTTGTTTATTTATTTATTCGTTCGTTTTAAGGTGAAATTTCGGAAAATTTCATCCGTTTCCTAAAAATACATTTTATTAAATTATTATCGAAACAAATTTATAACAACAATTATTTCGTTCGGAAATAATATTTCCCTTTATTCTCATTTCTATTTGTATAAATTTTAATTTCATCCATTTCGATCTACTTATTTTTTTACATTTAATTTCATCTATTTATTCTCAAAATTTCGATTCATCCATATTATTTTCAAAATTTCGATCCGTTTATTATTTATGAAAGTTTAAATAGCATTTATCTTTTTTACTAATTAATTACATAATTCTTAATACATAATAAAAAATTATTACTACTTAACATAATTTAAATGATGATTATTATATATACACTTGGTAAAATTTCTTTCGTATCCGATGATCATCGATATCAAAAATACCGATCTTCATAGAAAGGGTAAACAAATAAATATATTTGTGTCACTCATCATATGATTCTGAATACATAAACTTTATCGAAATCCTGCCAAATAATTATTCTCATCTCCCGCCAATATTACATGCGGTGCTATAATATAAACCTTCCCTGTTGCACTTAAATAGAGTTCGAAGTTCGAACCAAAACGTTTATGACTAATCGATTTTCAGAGTCAGAATATTATTTACTACTAAAATTTTTTTTTTAAGCAAATTAAAATTATTTATTATTTTCATTAAAAATTACTTTTTTATTATTCTAAAAATAAAATTTCTTAACAATCGTGAATGTAACTCATTGTTGAAACTTTTTATAAACAAACATACTGTATTCATAAATTTAGAAAACAAATTCAAAAATATCCGGTAACTTTATAGTTCAGTGAAACAAACTTAAGTATCTGTTAATGCTCTGGCTTTTAAAACAAAACAAGGGTTTTTGTAATGATCTTAGTAATAAGGTTTACTTCAAATTTCCTGTATTCAAGTAAACAAAGAAGATTAAAATTATGATTATTATTATTCGACTAAATTCTTTTATAATAAAATAAATTTGATTAATAATAAAAAAATCGATTCTAATCTCATTTCTTTCTTTTACTTATCAATCAATGTACTCTATTTTATCCTTTTTTTGTCCCGCCTTTTTTTTAGTTTATATAATTATCAGCGGTCATCTATTGAGTATTTTTCGATGTTCTTTGAATGATATTATTTTGATGTTGTGTACGTACATCTTTTTTATTGAACACGCATCATTCATTATTATCAGTATGCATGGATATTTAGTATACATGGCCATGATTTTCGAAAATTGTGTTACGCAAATTATGTCGGTACCCTGATTACTAATTTAAGATTGCTTGAATAAGTCGTAAATATTAGCGACTTTAATTGGTTCAATTGAAATGTAATTATAAGAATCGCGTCTTATATTCTTTGGAATTTTCTTCATTAATTGTAATCGAAATTTGGGAGTCCTTTTATCTAAAAATTCTTGTTTTTTTTCGAAGATGAAAAGCCGATGCATTTTTTGATTACTTAAAATATTAATAATTGCTTTGAGTGGAAATTCTGATGACGCTATTTTATTTGTATAAATATGTTAAAGACATCATGAACTAGAAATTTTCCAAGTACCTTAGATAAATCTTGTTTAGATGGCCATTCCTATAAAAATCATTTTTATCACCGACCGTTGTGATCAATTTTAGAATACACACTTTTAAAAGTTCAGAATTTGCTTATCTTTGAAATCCATACTCGTTGCATTTAAATTGTAAGAATGTCCAGTTTCTTTAATTTGATCGATAAACCCCTCAAGTCTTTCGGAAAAGCTCTCACAGAGTAAATTTCATTATTCACCATAAGAAAAATACCACATAAATTTGTGTTTTATATTTAAATTACATTTAAAAAAAAAATGAAACTCACTGCTAACACACGAAAACAGACTAATGATACTTGTGTACCCTTTTTAACAGTAACATAGAACAGCATAGAAACACTCATGGCCGTTTGTCGATAGCATTGATGGATATCTAAATATTTGTTTAACAGGGGACAAAATCCCAACAACCATAATATCGACAGTCTACAATCCCGATATCAAAATCCAAATCCCGGTTGAAACAAATCCTGATAGTCACAAATCCTGACAGTAAATTTCTTGACGGTCAAAATCCAGTTTTTTTTTTAAAAAAAAGGGTGAATTTATTCCTCACCCTTGGTGAGATTTGATACCCCAAGTCATAAATTGTCTAAAATGTCAAAAATGGTATTTATAACCTTTCCTAAGGTATTAAGTAAATTTGTAGAGCAGGCAAAATTACCTACTGTATAAGTCATAATTTTGAAGGCTATACAAAGCTTTAATATATTAAGTTTTATTTTTTTAAAAAAAAATTTTTTTCGTCGAAAATTACGTTGTTTCTTTTTTGGAAATGATCGGCAAATGATCGGCATGACGTCATGTTTATATATATAAATTTCAGGGTATAAATTTTCCAATTAAACAAATAAGTCACTGCGGTCAGCAAAAAAAAATACATAACTTGAATTATTAGTATTAACGCAAAATATTTGCAAATTGTTTCCAAATTTTATTAATATTAATGCAAATTACTATATTATTAATAAAATTAAAAGGAACAATTTTTTATTTTAACTATACAGTATATTATAAGATTTTAAAAATTAACTAATCTAAAACTCCCAGTCAGGAATCAGGATTTTGGTTTGCATATCATAATACCGTATGCAGACAACTTTTTTTTTTTTTGAAATTCGCTCTTTACGTTAAATTCCTTAACTCCTATATATTCGTTTTCGCTTTCTTTTTTACTGCGCTAGAAAGAATGATAGAGTATCACAATTTACAATAATCTTTGATACGTACTAGTTGTAATCTAGCGGGATTTAATTGTAAATGACAACTTTCTTGAATAAAGCTCATATGATAGATTTTTTGGAGTACAATTAATAGTGTCTAATTTTCAACAAAAAAATTTTAATTAATTGAATTATTTTAAAGAGTAAACAAGAGTAAACAAAAAATTTTTCTGATGCGTTAATTGTAAAACATAACTTCCAAATTTACTAGTGGAAACAATGAGATTAAGCTTCTCCGCACCTACACATTCTAACATAACAACGTAGAATTTCTAGTGCGAATGAGATAATGACAGTAGAATATTACTATCATTCTTTTAATATACACGGACATAATTTTCGGAAATTAAATTGATCGAACGTTTTCACCAAATTCTGTGTTTCGGTAATTGTAGTAGTTTGCCAATTTGATACTGATGGTAACTGATTACTATGATTTAAGATTGCTCTAATTGAAGTCATGGGTACTGGCGGTTCAATTGGTTCTATCGAAGGATATTCTATGTCATCATATGATGTGCAGTATTTCCTTCGTCTATTTTTTGGAATTTTCGTTGTTTTCTGGATCTTTTTTTCCATTTTACTTTTATTGACCCGTTTTTGAACACCATTCATTCTTAATAATTGTGATCGAAATGTGGGTGCTCTTTTACTTAAAAATTCGGGCTTCTTTCGAAGATGAAAAGCCGATGCATTTTTTGATTAATCTCATCCGTGAAGGTCAACGTAGGTAACCAAACTAAAGTCACGGGGAATGATATAAAGTTCTCATCATCTCCTTTAGGGGTTCCTTCTTGATATATAAAATAATTTTCTGAAAAATATATTGGTCGGATCTTATGCTTTTTTTCGTTATTATGTTCACGATTTACGAAATACTTTCTTAAATCATCAGCTAAGCTGATTAAATTTTTATATAACCGTTTGACGGGTGGTGGATTGATTTTACGGGGTCTAGAGGATAATTCCTCACTTAAAATATTAATAATAGTTTTGAGTGGGAATTCTGATGACGCTATTTTCTCTTTGAAATCCATACTCGTTGCGTTTGAATTGTAACAATGTTCGGTTTCTTTAATTTGATCGATAAAACATCCAAGTCTTTCGGAAAAGCTTTCAGCTTCCTTACGGACGATATTATTGATATCATTATTCAAAAATGTTTCAGTTTCTTCGAAACATTTAATTTGTATTCGTACGATAATTCGGCTGCAAAATAATATGACAGCAAAATCGTGTCTATCTGGTGTAATTTCTTCGAAGTCTATTAATTTTTTCTGTTCGGAAGTGAGTGTAGTTTTAGGCATATTTCGTAAAAAGTGAAACGATAAATGTTTTTAAAAAAATGGATAAATTGTTTTTGATAGAGGTAGAAAATTGTTGTTTTTATATTTATTGTTCATGTAATAATATGAAATTATCGAGTGAAATTTATTTATCGTTCTTGCACAAAATATTTTCTTAAATCATCAGCTAAGCTGATTAAATTTTATATAACCGTTTGACGGGTGGTGGATTGATTTTACGGATAATTCCTCACTTAAAATATTAATAATTGTTTTGAGTGGAAATTCTGATGACGCTATTTTATCTTTAATATCCATACTCGTTGCGTTTGAATTGTAAGAATGTCCAGTTTCTTTAATTTGATCGATAAAACATCCAAGTCTTTTGGAAAGCTCTCAGCTTACTTCCTTATGTGACAGTATCGTTGATATCATTATTAAGGTGAATAATCATGACTATACAGAGTAATTTTCATTATTCACCAAAGAAAAATACCACATAAATTTGTGTTTTATATTTAAACTAAAAAATGAAACTGACTGCTAACACACGAAAACAGACTAATGATACTTGTGTACCCTTTTTTAACAGTAACATAGAACCGTTTGTCGATAGCATTGATACTATGTACACATCCCAAAGGGATATATTAATATTTGTTTTAACAGTTTGCATGTTATAGTACCATATGTGAACAACTTTTTTTTTTGAAATTCGCTCTTCACATTAAATTCCTTAACTTCTATATATTCGTTTTCTTGATAATAGAAGAGAATAAATAAAAAGATGAAAACTATCGCCTTCTTTTTTACTGCGCTAGAAAGTATCACAGTTTACAATAATCTTTGATACGTACTAGTTGTAATCTAGCTGTAAATGACAACTTTCTAAATCACACTTGTATTTTTTCATATAAATAAGCTATTGTTTCTGCTTGATACGTGACGCTATCTTGTATTTTTTTGATTTCTTTCCGTTAATATCCAAGTCATATTTTTCATATGATAGTTTTTTTAATTTTGTCTATAGATTTTCCGATAAAACATAACTTCCAAATTTACTAATGGAAACAATGGGATTAAACTTCTTCGCACTTACACATTCTAACATAACAACGTAGTGCGAATCTACCGCATATTAATGTTGACTCAAAATATTACATTTTAAATCTTTATCTTTCTTATACGCAATATATATATATATCATTATATATGCACTACTACGTACAAGTACACCGAATTATATTTAAAAGAGAATCCACGAGCAAGCCTATCATGGACTTTATAAATGTACTATGGGTTTCAGTTTCCGATAATATGCAAGATACGGTATAACAAATCAAACGGAACGTGATTATTGACAAACAACAATGGTACCATTCAAATTTTAAGTTCAAAACTAACCAAGATTGTGCTGATTTACCTTGATACATTTCATTTTGAAATAATGACTATAATACAGTATGACCCTGTTCCTTGAAATTCTCAATGATATTCCCTGCAGAAAATTTTTTAGCGGTATTTGTGCATATCGTTATTATTATTTTAAGGTTTATATTATGTACTGTAGTTATTGTTGTAATTGAATTCCTTGCATAATTCGCAAGAACTTTTTTCGTAACATTTTATAGATGACAGAATGAAAGTTCTTTCAATAATAAATAAACAATAATGAACATTTTTAAATTATAATCATTTTTTAATAATTATTTGAAAAAATGGGATATCATAATAAAAGAAACGAACAATACATTTTACGCGAAGCGCAGTTGATTTTGATCATGATGCGGTATGTCATCATGAATTTCCTATCTGAATCTCATTCCTGATCAAAAATTGGGTAAGATAATCAAACAAAACTTTAGAAGGTCAAATTTACTGCCAAATAAAGGATTGGGCGTATTTTTTTTTAATGGGGATACTTTTTTTATAATGGAAAAAGGAAAAAAAGAATCATCTCAAAAAAGATTTATTGTTTTTACTTTTTTTTATTTAATTTTTTTTTTGGCGCAGTTTTATTACATGAAAACTAGGCAATCATCTATACAAAAGATTTTATTATTTTTTTTTTTTTTTTAAAGAAAAAATTAAGAAAAAATTCAATCATTTACAATAACCAATCTTTTTAATTAATAAAGCATAAGGTTTTACATCATCTACACTAGGAGATACCCAATATTTACTTCCTTTACCTCTTTTAAAAGGGATTTTAATCAATGATTTTGGATTAACACGATTTTGGAATAAAACCAAATATTTAGAACCATCATAAATAAAAGTATTAGCATAAGATGCAGCTAAATTAATATCAGGAGTAGTAAAAATTCCATGATTAAAATTAAATTTATAACCTTTACTATGAATAAAACCATCATCAGCAATCCTTTTTGCATTTCTTGTCGAAGTTCCATGATAAGAATAAGGCCAATATTTAATGAAATTTCTTTCTTTTGTTGTTGTTAAAAATATTCTCATCCATTCACATTTATTACTTTTATTAATATTTTTCATTTTTAATGATTGTAAAATTAATTCTGAATTTAAAAAATCAGAATTTAAATATTTTATAATAATAATATTATTATTATTATTAGAACCTCCTTCATAATATGATCTAATATCCAAATAAATAATATTATTATTACCAATATGATAATTTCTTAATTCATTAGTATTTATAAGACGTTGACCATTAAATACTAATCTTTGAGATGTTGTATCATTTACAATTCCAATATCTAATATACGTTCTTTTAATTCTTGTACTTTTGTTTTATAATTTAAATTTTGAATTAATAATTTAATTCCAGTTAAACTTTCAATATAAACGTTAAAAGTAGAATTATAATATTTTTTATCATCATGTTCTTTATGATGTGATGATGATGATATTATACCTCCACTTAAATAAGCTTTATAAAATGTTTGAAAATTCAATTCTTCATAAATTCTATTATTATCATTTTTTTCTTCTTCTTTTCTTGATAAATATTCATTATAAGTTATAATATGAGAATTTGTTACAGATGTTAAAGCGGATGCAACCATATCTGCTGAATTAAATGGTGAAGGTGTTGATGGGAATGGTGTTTCCTCATATTCTTTATATTGTGTCCATGTTTTAACTTCTATAAAAATGTAGAGTCCTAAAAATGATGAACATATTGACATACATAATAATAATAATATTCTACTCTCATTCATATTAATGAAAAAAATATATAAATTTGTATGTATATATATATATATAATTTTTTTTTTTTTGTTTTCTCTACGGTTTCTTGAAAAGTGAAGAAAATGCAATCAAATTAACCAAATTCAAAATTTAAAAAAAATTCTGGCTTTTCCTATTGATAAACATAAATAAAAAGGGGGGAGAAATAGTTTGCATTATACATTATATATACCTTGCATTGTGAAATCAGACGACAAATTTCCAATTTTAATAGAATTATTCCGTTTTTAGATAAAGAACCAAACCTCTATGAGAAAAAATACAACTGTAACACAAATATTTTTAATAATTCCTCGATTAATATTGATAAGCGTGGACGAATAATTTTCCGAACTTTGTATCTGTCATTTTAATTGACATTCTGACAGGTTTTCAACATTTATGCGGGCGTAGATAATTACCATCACATGTTCACACCACTCACACCACTTTCATGAATAAAAACGGTTTTTAAAATAGAACTATTACGGAAAGATTCAATGATTCATATATATTATTAATTAATGAACTTCTTTGATAAAATTTTTCAAACTAATGACGAATGATAATTATTAAATTTAAAATTTGATCAATATAAATGATCATCCCCTTTATTAATTTATCATATCACTCTTTCTTTCTCTTTCTCTCTCATTAAAAAAAATGCCACCAAAACATCAAATTTACATTGATAGAGCAGAATTTGTTCGATCATTATTTAATGATTCAACAACTGCAAATATTCTTTTAAGAGTTGATAATTTTCATATTTACGCTCATACATCTATTTTATATTGTGTTTCTGGTTTTTTTAAAAAAATTTTCAAATTATTTGCTCGTAAAATCAAAGAAGATGGAAATAATTTTTTATTTCATGATTATAGTTGTAATAGGGAAATAGCTATAAACAAATTATATGAATATAAAGGACAAGAAAAAGTTGAATTACTTTATGATATTATTGATTTTCAAAATTTTATTGCTTTTTTGTGAGTAAAATTCAATTGTTCTTATGGCGTAAATAAATGGTATCATTGAAACAAATGTGTAACAACCCAAATGTGGGTTTCTAAAGGTATGGGGTAATTATTAGTCTTAACATATATGTAATCTGTTTTTTTTCTTAATACCAGGTATGGTTATCCAGTTGAAACAAGAGATCAAGATCAATTGTTTGTGCTAGCATACTTGGGATCCAGTCATAAATTTGACGTTCCAGAGTTGGTGAATTTTTGTGATAATGTTTTATATGAAGTGGTAAGTAAAATTAAGTTAGTATGTTTAGTAGTACAGAATCTCAAATCTTTTCTTTTCTTTTTTTAGTGGAATAAACAACAATGGCATGTTATTTTGAGAGTTTCTAAATGGTTAGGCTTGAAAAAATTACGTTGTCAAGTATTACGATATGTTTACAATCAAGGTGAACTAATGTTTCAAAGACATGCAAAGAAAGATTTGGATGAGAAAGATTGGCAAATCATGTTTGTACTTACTAGTGGAAAGGATCCTCTTTTGAATATTGATAATATTCTTAATGGAACATATAATGAAGAATTCACCGAAGATAATATTTCTAAGAATATTAATAATAATGCGGATATTAATAATGCGGATATTAATAATGAGGATATTAATAACGATATGAATGATTCTAATGATGATGATATGATGTTGATTGATGATGAAAATTATAATGATTATGATCAATCAATGGAAATTGCCATAGCTGATTATGAAAAATTATATAAACCACCAACAAATGATAAACGTAATAAACATGTTCATTGGGGACCGGAAACTTTCTTGATTACTGACGACATTTAAAAAATATGTTAATTTGATTCTAGTTGATTTTTTGCTAAAAATAAATAATGTAAAATATTATGAGTTTTTTTGCGTATATATCGCAATTAATAGATAGTTATGCATTATTTAGAACTAATTTACCTTTTGCACGTTCATACGTGTTTGTAAACAAATAATAATTAAAAATATTGTAAATAAAGAAAAGCGGAATAAAATTATAATGAAATATTTATTTAAAGTGATTGGTAGTATATTGATATAATGAGAATATATAGCAAACGAGGCGCATCGCATTATCATTTCGGATCAAAAAATCCGCCTCACGCAAATTCTGTAAGGTTTACCCTATTATTAAAGTTATTGTATTATTATGAAGAAAGGAAAAACTGTAAAGGAAAAAATTTATAAAAATTTAAAATTCGTAAATTAACGGGATTACTTTAATATAGCAAACTTTATATTTAAAAAGAGGTTTGTGTTACCTTGTTCGTCGATCACGTGATTCAGTCGTCATTTAGAACACGAATCTTTAAAACGATCAAGAAGTCCCTGTCTCCCTGACCATTAAGATCGTTACTTTTTCTGTACAAGCAATCAAGCATATTGCTCGTAACGAATGTAACGTTAACACAAGATTAGTTTTCTATCTAATTACGCGCAGTAATTTATTACTAGTATTACGGTACAACTACAAGTACATAAACGATAGAAACGATATAAAGAACTGTTGTACAATGTACAGCATTTAACCAAAGGCGTGTCAGTTTCGTTAATGTGACACAGAATGTTCTACAAACAGGCCTATTTAACAAGGCTGTTAGTATTCTTTAATTCTTTATCTCTTTTTTTTTTAATTAAATAATATGGGAAATAAACAAATTATTACGATAGGAATAAGGTAAAGAAGATATTCTTGTATTATGAGTTTTTATTTAATTTCAAACTTATTGAACTTTTTTTTATATATAAAAATTATTTTTTAGTGGAGCATCCTGCACTGGAAAATCTGTACGTTTATATCATCATCAATAAAATATCAAAAGTGTCATTTTTTTTTTTATTTATTTTTTGATTGATTATTGATTATAAAAATCATCATTTTTTTGTCATCCAACAAATATTTACAGACGTTAGCTAATTGGTTACAGAAAATTTTCCCAAATTCAACGATTTTACATCAAGATGATTATTTCAAGGTAGTTTATTACATTAATTTCATAAAATTGTTAATTTTTTTTTAAAAAAAAAAACTGAAAAATTATTTAATTATGAAACAAAAAGAAAAGAGAACAACTTCCGATTGATCCGATGACCAATCTCGCAAATGGAGAATGTCCTGAGGCGATAGATTTTGAATCTTTTATTGGTTCACTTTATGAATTACATACTTCTTTTGGTTTGGCAAAAACATTTAAACCTAAAAAGAATCATCATATACATCATGATATTGAATCCAATGAATTAAATAATTTAGCTAAAGAATTAAATTATAAAGTTCAAAATGTTTTATCAGAGAAACAGAAAGAATTGAATTTTGTATTGGTTGATGGATTTTTATTGTATATAAATTCTGATGTTGTTAAAGAATTAGATATTAAATTATTTTTAGAAGCTGATTATGATATACTTAAAAAGAGGAGAGAATATATTTATGGTAGGAAAATTCTAGGTAGAAGATGGGTTGATCCACCAAATTATTTTGATAAAATGGTTTGGCCAAATTATTATAAAATTAATAGACATATAATAGATAGACCGGAATTGGAAGAAGATAATAATAATAATGTTAATGTTAATGTTAATAATAATGAGAATATGTTGAAAGATTTAATTATATTAGAATCCAATAGTCTTTCAAGATTATCAAGAAATATTGAATTTGTTGTAAAAACCATTTTGAACACTATTCAATAATTTTATTTATTTATTTATTTATTTATTTATTTTAAAACAAAGTGAATTTTTTACAAATAAAAAATTCGGGTTTAGCCAATAATTAAACCTTTTATGGTTATATTTGAATGAAAATATATTTTCTAAGTAATTTGTATAGTTTGATAGTAAAAGGCGTTTTTCTAAACATGGTTAGATTGTTTGAATATATTTTCTTTGCAATTTTCTTTTTATGTCTTATCAATTCCTTAATTTAATAATGATCGAAAGTAATATTTTGAAACTCCGTCAACGAATGACGGCATATACATAAATTTTTTGTGTTAGTGTACGTGTATTGTCATCGTGTAACGTCAATTTTTTTTAGTTAAAATTGAATGGTTAATTCATAAAATTATCTTTTCAATTTAATAAACTAACGTTATGCCATTAATTCGTAAAGAATTAATTGGAATTGCTCTTAATAGAGCGACTTCTTTAATAGATTTTTGTATTCACAATGATATTAATAAACAAGTTGAATTCATGAAACAAATAGTTTATAATGATAATTCTCTTAATAAAAGTGAAATAAAGAAAGCGATAAAAATATTAACAAAAGATCTTGATTATTATAAAGTTCTTTATAAAGAGGGAGAAAAAAGAATTTGTGAAAATTGTAAAGAAGAATGTTTAGCTACTTATTATTGTGAATATTGTATTAGAAAATTTTTAATAAAAAATTTTTCAATATGGACATCTAATAATAATGGTATTGATAATTTAATAAAAAATTGTCAAATTGGAACTCTCTCACCAAAAAAAATAATTGAATGGATCCCATATGATAAATTAAGAAATATTAATTATTTAACAAGAGGTGGATTTTCTGAAATATATGAAGCGGATTGGATTGATGGATGTTTTCATAAATGGGATCCTAAAAAAAAAGAATTGATTAGATCAGGTAATATTAAAGTAATTCTTAAAAGATTACAAAATGTTGAAAGTGCTGATAGACATTGGTTTGAAGAGGTAAATTAATTATATATATATATGTATATATCAATATATATACAGTATAATGTATTTATTTTTTATTTTTTTACAGGCAGAAACACATTCAAACATAAGTAGTAACAAAAGGCCAGTAATTGTTCAATGTTATGGTCTAACTAGAGACGAAAATAAATATTATCTTGTTATGGCTAAAATGGATACAGATCTAAGGAATTATTTAAAACAAAATAAATCATTGACTTGGAAAGAAAGAATCTCAATCGTCTCTAATATTATAAATTCACTTTATATAATTCATAATGAGAAAGCTATTCATAGAGATTTACATTCTGGAAATATTTTATATTCAAAAAAAATTGATTATTGGTATATCTCGGATTTTGGATTTTGTGGACCCGCCGATAAACCATTAAAAACCATATATGGAAATTTACCTTACGTTGCACCAGAAGTTCTCGTCGGAAGAAAATATACTTTTGCTTCGGATATTTATAGTATCGCAATACTTATGTGGGAAATGTCATCCGGAAGACCACCATTTCAAAAATATTATCATAATTATGAACTTGCAATGAACATAGTTAATGGAATGAGACCAAAAATAGTTCCTGAAACTCCTTTAGAATATGAAAATTTGATGAAACAATGTTGGGATGCTGACCCATTAAAAAGACCTGATATTGATACACTTTTGATAAAAATAAGGGAAATTAAAAAATCTCTTTATCACATTATACCAGATGAACTAATGATTGGTGATACCAAAGATCCTGAGTACCTAAGTTTGGCTCAATTATTTAAGTTGATATCTCAACAAGTGGATGAAAGAGTTTATGAAAACAATTCATCAAGTAAATTATATGATTTTGAAGGCTTACCAGAACCCAAAAATGCGACTGAAGGTATTATTTTATTCGATTGACTTTTTTTTTTTTAAAAAAAAATTATATTAGTTATATTAATCTACTTTTTATTTAATTGAAATAGAGGAACAAGAAGGTATATATTTCATTTTATAACAGGGAAGATTTACTATTTTTTTTTAAAGACTAATATATATATATTTTTTTTAAAAAAAGTGTTTCATAGTAAACCTACCGATTTTATCGTTCCTCACAGTCGTAAGTAAATTTCATCTATTTATACCAAATTTGACATAAAAATTAATTTTTTCCTTTTCTTTTTATAGTTAACGATATTCATAAATCAAGTATTGCGACATAATTAAAGAAGGGTGGAAGGGTGACTAATGTACATAGTGCAACGGCACCTCATATCCAAGATATGCTAAAAATGGCATGAATGATCGACGTCTTCCTAACTGAGGAAGAATATTGTCGGTTGTTCGAGTTGACAAAAAAAGTTCATAAGCTTTAGAATTGACGTTCTGATGTGTAAATATTTTCGCCAACAATTTTATTGAATAATGACTAGGATATTTACAGTATACTTGTATTAGTTTATTAGAAATAGTAGTTTATTACTTAGTATCGTGAATTGTTTGTGTATAAATAAAGTTGCTTGCGGAGCTCCAAATACGATATCATAATATCATTTAATAATTAATAATTTTATTCTGTAATTCGATTTTTGAATTGTTATAAATAGTGTCGTACCAATTCTTTCTCCTAAAATTATATTTACGAAATCACGCGATATCAACATAAATCACGCAGATTAAATAAAAATAAAAACAAAAATAAACCAGAAAAACCGACATCTATACTAAAAAAGCTGATAACATCCGATGACATTTTTTATATTTATTTGCACGCAATTTATAAACAAATAGGTATGTGAAACTTGCTTTTTCTAAAATAAGATAGATTTATGTTTTACAACGCAAGGAATCGAGTAGTGATAGACGGATGGATGATTCGCGAATATGTGTATATGCAAACGACATAGATTTAATAAATAACGAAATTTTTGAAGGATGAATTACTGTAATAATTGATGTAATAAGTGTATATTATTAATATTATTTAGCATTTCCGTGATTGATTAGTAAGTTGTGTATGGTTTAAACTATAATGGAAAATTAAATATAAAGGTGTTTTTTTTTGGTAAAAAAAATTTATTACACCAAATTTATATCCTCATTGTAGTGTCAATTTTCCTTCTTTTTTTTTCTTTGGACTTTTATTCTTTCAACTCCTTTCTTTCTTAAAAAAAAAATCTCTTTAATTATGTCAAATGATGATACTGCTTTATTAAACGATCTTATAAAAGTAACAAATAGATACGGAACTTTTTCTAGATCATCATCTTCTGTCAGCGAATTAAATTTAGAAAGCCAAGCTCTACTCGAACGTAGTCATGACCATTCCAATAAACCACATTCATTTTTTCCGACAACCATTGTCGTTAAAAACGTTGGATCTACTGCGCGTGACAATCTCTGTAAGTAATCCTTTTAAACTTTATCTTTTAGAATTCTTAATTTCTTACGTATTTATTTAAATTTACTTTTTCTTTAGCATTAGAGAGGAACTTTTTATCATGGTTACGGTTATCAACAACTTTAGTTTTAGTTGGAATAGCTTATTATTTTCATTTTGAAATTATACCATTACCAACATCTAATCATTCCAATATACTTGGTTTATTTCTCATGTTCTTAGGAAATTTCACGTTATTATGGGCTTTATTGAATTATTTACAATTTCAACATATGTTAGATAGATACTTGATAGTTGAAAATGGTATATTGCAATTTATGGTAGCTGGAACAGTAGGAGTTGCTATAATTGCGGCCTTTATCGTTGATTCATAAATCATAAGATTCATAACAAGATGAGGGATAAAAGTAAAGTAATTAATGAAAGTAAAAAAAGAACAAGTGTTTTAATGAAGGAAATATCATTCCAAGGTTTAATGAGAAACAGTATGGTGATATTTTATACTTTTCATATCTAATATATATATATATATATATATAAATGTAACATGTTTAAGATATAAATAAGAATTATATATATAGCTTTTTTTTTATGTATCATAATTTATTTCATACAATTGTACGTACAGTAAAAGTAATATTAAAATAAATAAACAAAAGAATAAGTTAATAAGGTAAAGAAAGAACATGAAAAATAATGGAACAAAGATTTTTTAAAAAATAATTCAATTTAAAATATGTTTCTTTTAAATTAGATCGGTTTTTAAAAAACTGAATTCTATCTAGTGTCATTAAAAATAAGTCAGGATTGTGAAAAGTGTTTGAGCTGATGTCTGGACAAAAGTTTCGCCAAACTGCTATGCAACATTGTGGCCTCTACCCAAGTCATTATGTATTTGCTCTAGCCTTGTCGTGGGACGCTATGCTCAAGATGACTGGGGCTAATATATTATTTATTATTTTTATAAAAAAAAAACTGTAAAAAAACTGAAAATTGAAAAAAAAATAATATTCGGGTATCACGTGATTTATATACGTCACTGACTTGAATCACTCTTGAATCTAATTATTATATTATTTAAGGATCAGCAATTAAATGACCCTAGCAATTACCGAATTTTTGCGGTATATAATCATCCCTTTTTTGCACTTAATACCGACCAAGATCCTTATAATCCTGGCCAAAATCGCCATAATTCCCACTAAATATGGTATATAGAAGTATTGAAAATACTTGTATACTTGTAATAAATATGCGATCTTATTATATTAATTAAATTTAATATTAAATAATAAAACTAGTAAAAAAAAAATAGCAAAGTACTGTATATTACAAAACAAAGTACCTCTTCTATTAGCCCTATCACTTTCTTTTTCTATTAATTTTGTTATTTAAATAATCTAATTTTATCTATATATTATTATATACAAATATTTTTTTGATTATTATAAGTTTGCAACTTATTGATAACTTCTAAAATATTCAGAATTTCCTTAGTGCCTTCTTTATATGCCTTTATGACCAAATAAAATAATCATATTGTTTTTTCCATTTAGGATAATTGAAATAATTTAAAGGCTGGAACTTGAAACCAAATTTATTACTCCTAAAATTTTATTGTAATATCATCAAAAAAAATTTTATATATTATATAAGTTTCTAATCAAAATATATATAAAGTTAAATTAAATTAATTTTTAATTGGATTTTTCTAACTATCACCAGGAGTAATTACCAGTAACTAGAATTATGACAATCAACCAGTATTAAAAAAATATAGTGCCAGTAAAAATTGATTATTCTGACCAATGGTAATAATTACCTTTAAGTAAAAAATTTTTTAATTTATATATTTTTAATTAAATTTATTTATTTATTATTTTTTTTTATTTTAATATTTAATTTCTTTTTAAAAATATAAATTTACTATCTATTTTTTTTAAAAAAAAATTTATTTTATTTTATTATTTTATTAAATATGTACAATATATTATGATTGTAATAACAAATACAAATAGTTAATTTACTAGCTATTAAATTTAATATTATCTTAAATTTATTAATTAATATTTGGTATTTTAAAAAATTATATATAAAAATATAAAAATTTTATAATTTTTGATTTTATTCTTTTAACTACTTTTATATAATTAAAAAGTAAATTTGCAAATTTAAATTGATTATTATTATCTGTTAATTTAAAAACAATTTGTACATTAAAAATATTAATTTAAAATTCCTTTTAAAAGAATATTTGAACGTTTTGCAGTAGAAAAGGATGAAACTACTAAAAAAAATAAAAAACGAGTTAATATAAAATCTGAATAAATTATAGCATTTGGAATATTTTTGGCATATAAAAGAAAATTTGAATTTTTTTAGTAGTTTCATCATTTTCTACTGCAAAGCGCCCATTTATTTATAATAACATAAAAAAAATTAATTATAAACTATTAAAAAATACTTATTATTTATTAATAATAATGAATGCTTATATATTATGTAAATATTCTTTTTTATAGGTTTAATTAAAAAATAACTTTAAATATTTCAATAGATTTTAACTTTTTGCCATTAAGAATATGATCTTTAATATTATTTTTATTGATATTTAAGTTAATAGCATTTTTTACTATTAATAATGTTAATTTTAAAGAATTAAATTAAAATAATTAAATATTATTTTTTAATATGTTTTTTTTTTATTTAAATAAAATACTTAAATTATTTAATTTAAAATTTGTTATAATTAAAATTAAATTTATCAATAGCATTATTAGAACCCCGAAAAATACATATAAAGGTCACATGTAAGTTTGCTTAACCATATTAGTAAAATTTCCAAAAGTCATAAAATTTTATTTGCATAAATTTTGAGATTTTTTAAAAGGTTATATATATAGTTTGCGTAATAACAATCATTTTATATATGTCATATATTTTAATTTGTGTAGTCAATGGTATTTTTTAATAAAATATATATATATATATAATTCCAGTGGTCTTCTACTAATTAGCAGCATAACGCCTTGGAATTCCAGCAAATTTCTACTAATTAGAAGCATAACGCCTTAGAATTCTGGCAATTTTCTACTAATTAGCAGCATAACGCCTTAGAATTCTGGCAATTTTCTACTAATTAGTAGCATAACGCCTTGAAATTCCAGCGATTTTCTACTAATTAGCAGCATAATGCCTTAGAATTTCCTAATAAGCAGCATTACGCATAGTATAATACATAAAATTTTGAAAATACGTAATTGACGGATAATCTGATTGATAATAGATAATTTTTTTTTAATTTTTTGACTTTTAACAGACTGTTTTATTGAAAGAAAAAAATAAAATATTTTTTTTTGATCTGTAACAAACCGTTTTATTCAATAAAAATTTTTTTTTGGCCTTTACTGTTATATTTTTTTAACAACAGGCCATTTTATTAAAAAAAATATTTGGTTTAGAATGTTATTAATATTCCTTTTTATTATTTTTCTTTAAAAGCAACTTCTTAAATCTAAAATTTATTATTTTAGATACTAATATCTTGGAAAAATATGAGTTAAGAGAAAAGTATAGTCAATTTTTTTTGGGAATATTACCATACTAATATTCCTTTTACTTTTTTCTTAGGAACTTGGAATTCAGACTGGAACTCCAATGCTCACTGTAAGTAAAGAATTTTTTAGCTTTATTTTGTTTATTTTAGAAGTATTATTAACATTTCTATTGTTTTTTCTATTAGAAATGATTTCTAGATTAAAAACTAAACTGAAATTTTTAGTAAGTTGAGAATAAGGTGGAATTTTTTTTGTTTTATATATGAAAGTAGTATTAATATTTTTTTTCTTTAGAAATAAAATCTTCTTTTAAAAATGATTTTATAAATTATATTGACTTTTCTTTAACTTTAAAATGTTATCAATATTCTAAGTTTTTGTTATAATTTATAAAAAAATAATGAACAATCTTTTTGTTTTAGTGTTAATACTTGAATTATAAAATAATTAAATATAGTAGTATAAATAAATAAGTCAGTACAAATTAATTTATGCAATTTGGCATTATGCTAGCAATTGAAAATCAATTATACTGGAAGTATATTCTAAATACAACTAATTAAATTAAAAAAAATCTATGATTTCATTTTTTTAATATATAAATGTCATAAAAAAAATTTGCTTATTCTAATATAAATTATAAAGTTAGAAGTCAACTTTGCGTATTGATCTTAGTAAAAACATTTGCTTATTTTAAGGCAAAATTTTGCTGATTATCTCTGACTTTTATATGTATTTTTTGGGATCCTGCATTATTATTAACTAGGAAAATATTATTATTAAAAAAGATACTTATAAAAATTATTTAACAAATATTATTTTAAAAATATTTAAAAGTATATATTTTTATAAATTCTTTTAAATTGATTACTTTGCTGAAACTTGGAGTTTACAATCGATATTGATTAGATATTGCAATGATATCATTACGATATCATTACGATATTTTGATAAAAAATAGATTCGACGTCGTTAAGTTAGTCGTAACTATATTTATTCGACATTGATTAGTTCGATATCTTTGCGATATCGCAGCGATCATTATGCGATGTAAATATTATCACGTAATCACATCGTAGTGATGTCGTATTAACATTGAATTAATAATACAAAAATATTTGACATTTATTTGATATCGTAA